TCAGTTTGTTTTTAGCTGTAGTAAGGTGTTGTCCGTTGTAACATTGGGAGAAACAATTTTCTGGCGGCCTGTAGTTTGATGGCTTGTGTTAAAATTCATCTCTATCTTTTCTTTGTTGCTTATTCATGTCTTTAGCATCTTATTCATATAACTTGAATTATGTACCGAGTTGGTATTGTGTACATGATGTATATTATGTCTTCATTACTGAACTGTTGCAAATAATAGTTTAATTCTCTCATTGTGCAGACTTTTGAACCCAATGACCCTCGCCTGAAGACCCCAGAATGCCTGAAGAACGCGGCCGGGATGGCAGTGGACTCGTCGTCAGCTGTCTTGTCTCAGACTGTTTATGCCATCTTCAGGATTGAGGAAGAATACAAGGATGTAAGGATGAGGAGGACTGGACTTTGTTACTGAGAGTGTCCTTGGGTTTTTTTGGTTGTTATTTTGAAGGTTGTTTATTGTTTTATTGAACACTTTTGGTAGCATTCAAGCATAAAAAGACCTATTACTTTTATTCTGTTTCAATGCCACTTTAGTTGCATCAGTAAAATATCATTTCACTTGACATTTCTTTGCTGCTGTGTGGAGTTTTACTTCCATCACGGGCCTGTACCCACTCACATTTATTTTCCTAACCCATATTATGGTTTTAATGGTATTGATTTTCTATGAATCCTTATTAAGTTTAGCATCAACAGAGCAAAATGAGTTACTGAATCTTGACAACCTACAATTGAGGTTAACGAGATTACTTTGCAAGATGAAAAGAAATTTTTGCTACTACTAACATCTTTTCAGATTTGAGAGATAAGTTTTCAAAATTACTTTATAAAATTAAAGGAAGCAAATTTTCTTTGGATGAACTTCTAACTTCTTGCGACATTAAGCTAGAATGTTGTGTGTAACATTTAGACCATTGTATTGTTAATACAGTACCTTTGTTATTGTGCATTTTCATAGTTTGTTTCTATTGTTTCAGCAAATTCTGAAAATGCTGCTTCATGTTGATGGCCAGGCATACTGCTTTTATGTGTGGAGTCTAAATTGTAGGGAACTTGCAACAACCCTACTCCTGCATTCAGTTTCAATTAGATTTCAAATAAGCATTTCTCGTGGGAACGTTTTAAGGTCAAATCATGCCAAAGACTATCAGTTCATAAGAACTTATTCTGTGAAGGTATTATCGTCTACCCAAATATATTATGTTGTGGATGAGATGGTTTGACAGTGGATCATTTTCACCCCCTGTACCTTCTGTACTTTCCCCCCAGCTGATGGATCTGATGGTCAAGTTGATAGAGTACCAGCTGCAGGTGGTGGGCCACAAGGCCGAGGAGGAGAGGATGGCCGACATCATTCTGGAGACCCGCCTCGAGATAGACAAAGTCAAACGGAGGAAACAGGTACACTGTTATATTATAGCGTTTGATAGATAGACAGAGTCACACGGAGGAAGCAGGTACACCATTATATCACGGCGTATGATAGATAGACCAAACGGAGGAAACAGGTACACTGTTATACCATAACAAAATCAAACGCAGGAAGCAGGTACACCACTATACTGCATGATGTGTAACCTTTTGTGTAGTCAGAATGTTTGAAGAGCTGGCTATGAGATAGACAAAGTCAGACGCAGGAAGCAGGTACACCGTTATGCCATATCAAAATTGACGGAAAGCAGAAATCTTTTCGTTTTGGATTAATTTTGCTGTGTGCCTGTTTTAAAAATACAAGGAATATAAAATGTATACATCACCAACGAAAAAATCAGGACCTGAAAATATATTTGCGATGTGCATGCTAAACTGTGTGTAGTTGCTCATTATTTGTCTGTTATTTTATGACTCTAGACAAGTCTTAATGTTTGCTTTTTGACTCTAGCATGAGTGTATCTGCGGACTTTTCTTTATATTATCATTATCCCTCACGTCAAATTCAAGATTTAAACCAGGTGTAATTACAGGAACTATTAGCGTTTTATTGCGTAAAGTTTCCAGGACTCAATCCTAGATCTTTGCTCCTTAGATTTATTTCTGGTTGAGCTATAACATTTATTATAATGTATTAGAACTAGTAGTCTTCATTATGCTTGTGTTGTAAGTTGAATATTACATTGAAGTGAGAGTAGAATAGATCTTACATTCGTGTTGCAATGTCATCTTTTTTTTCCCCCCAAAGGATTTGGAACTTCTCTTCGCGAGTGCTGAAAAGTTGGCGGACGCTACTGCTGAAGTTGCCTTTGCCACAGGTAAGCCTGCTGTACTGTACAGTCCAGTCCATTTATAACAGCCTCTGTTATTACAGGAACTTGGATATAACAGTGATATATCAAATCCCGATTTTTTTTTTCTCTATAAATGTAAGTAATATGAACCTGGCTATAACAGGGTTCATCAATTTGTGCAGACTCAGATATATATAACAGTGATCTTGGAGTGCGTGAACTTGCTTTCGATCTGTCAAATTATGAAAAATTTGTCCCAACCAAGACATTTTGCCTTTTTTTTTTGGTATGATCACTTGCCTAAACACGAACTTTCAAACGCATACCCCCCTCCCCCCCATAGTGTTAGGGTTACTGATCGATTCCGTCTCAGTGTCAGCGAAGCAGTCCACTGGAAAAGGATCTGCGGTAATTGAATATACACAGCAAGCTGAAGGTGCAATGGTACTGGTAGTTTCCCTTGTGATAACAGTTATAACAGGACTCGCTTATATTGCTTATAACGGGGAGGAAAAACTGCCGGTCCCGTCTGTCCTATTATATATCCGAGTTTGACTGTATGTCTAATCTGGTTGCTCCAAGTGAACGTAGTTGTCTGTGTATTTTTGACTGCTCAAAATTAGCAGTCATCTCTTTTTTTTTACAGCTTTTAGTGCTGTGTCAATTTTACTTGTTTTCCCTGTATGTCTGGGTGTTGTGGCCCCAGCTTTTTTCTTGTTTAGAGTGTTTGGGCTGGCAAACAGAGTCAAGCAAGTTAGGTTCTCTACCTGGTGGATGATCATTTGGATGAGTCCAAGAGCTAGACTTGTTACTCTTATTATTTTATTCTTTTTTAAACACAAAGTCGACATGTAGCAATTTAATTATAAATGCATTAAAAAAAAGGCCAGACTAAATAGTTAATTTCAGCTTTCAATAGAGAAATTCTCTGAAAAAAGCAGTATATTATTGCCTTATTCATCATGCTATTTACCATGAATGGTGAATTCAAAGTTATTTTTGGAAATAGTAGAGTAGCACCTCTATTCTGAGATATTAGATGAGTGTGAGCTAAAAAGGCTTCATTCTTCAGATCTATTACTCTCCTCAGATTTGATTCAGGTTAGCCGTGTTTTCTGTTTAGACAAATTGCTCAAATAGTGAAGGGAAAAAAGTCACGGATTCTATTTCCTTTCTGGTTGTGGCTGTTTCCACATTTATTAGCCGTGTTCGGTTTAAGCAGACTGAATAGTATACGGAACATGGGCACGAGTGTGTGAGTGTGCGTGCGTGCGTGTGTGTGGGTGGGTGGGTGTACTAAAATAATATGTGTGAATGTTTGAAGTTGAAGTAGGAAAGGCAAAAGTAAAAAAGCATTCAATTTTAAAAAAATGATGTAGATATGTCTACACACAATTTAGATCATTCAGGAGGCGGGCATTCAATTTGTCAAAAAATGGTCATCGGATCTTAGACTTTGACAACAAATCAGATAAACAATTTAAAATACAGCACAGTACAGTGAACTCTCTGTCCTTCATCAAGTTTTTTTCTGCCTCGATTTCCATCCCCAGGCATGGAGTTTGCGTCCACAAGCATGGGAGAACGGCTGTACAACACGCAGAGAGAAGTGAAGAGAGTCCAGGAGAAGACGGAAGAGCTGGAGCAGAGGTTACAACAAGTGCAGCTCAAGGTGATCGAGGTTATGGGGCAGCTGGAGGAAAAGGAGAAGAAAAAACAAAAACAGAGCTTGTCGGAAGGAGGGGAAGTCCTTGGGGACGCGGGGAGTGACGCGGGAGTTGAGGAGGGGGAGGAGGAGAGAGAGGATGAGGATGGACTCCTTGAGGAAGGAAATGTATAGAGTTATAGACGTCTGACAGAAATTGTTGTCTTTTTGTTTTGTTACAGCAGAGAGAGAGATGCGAGAGTTGAGGAGGGGGAGGGAGAGGACGTGGGAAGGACTCCGTGAGGAAGAACATGTATAGTAGAGGTCTGGCAGAAATTGTTGTCTTTTTGTTTTGTTACAGCAGAGAGAGAGAGACGCGAGAGTTGAGGAGGGGGAGGGAGAGGACGTGGGAAGGACTCCGTGAGGAAGAACATGTATAGTAGAGGTCTGGCAGAAATTGTTGTCTTTTTGTTTTGTTACAGCAGAGAGAGAGATGCGAGAGTTGAGGAGGGGGAGGGAGAGGACGTGGGAAGGACTCCGTGAGGAAGAACATGTATAGTAGAGGTCTGGCAGAAATTGTTGTCTTTTTGTTTTGTTACAGCAGAGAGAGATGCGAGAGTTGAGGAGGGGGAGGGAGAGGACGTGGGAAGGACTCCGTGAGGAAGAACATGTATAGTAGTAGTAGAGGTCTGGCAGAAATTGTTGTCTTTTTGTTTTGTTACAGCATGTGTTGTTTTGAAAAGATGGTGGTAACTTCTCCTTTGAGAGGATTTGTTGAAAGTGGTATCGTCTTTTTGAAGCACAGTGTATGAAATTGCAATTTGCCTTGTGTTATGTTATATTTGCAGAGATTTATTATAAAAAATGTGATGATGAATAAAGATACATAACAATATGACTTTCAGTTGTCTAGAGTTTTGACGTGCATGGAAGTATTTGGAAGATTTATTTTATGCATGCCTCAGACTCAGAGTCAGAGGGATGTTTATTCAGAGATACATCCTATTTATCATGGTACGTTGTTGAGAAATCGTTTTCTTTCAAGGGGATGACAGAAAATGAAATTCTGTCTTTATCAAAGTATCCCAAACTGGCTAGATTATAAGCAAATTTTTTAAGGGTTAACTTTTTATAATAATTTTGTCCAATTTGGATGAGTTTAGTGTCAATTTCTCGGACTAAAAAAGATTGTTCCAATTCCATCAGTATGATTTAAATATGCGTACAGGAATATTAGATGTGTTTGGAGTACAAAAACACACATTCTTGTGTCTGATCTTTCACTTTTATCACTTTTTCATGTGCTGGCATCATCAATCCTTAATGTGAGTCATCTGTTTCGTGTCTTGATTTTTTCTTTTAAACATAGGTGTTTTTACAACTCCATCGACACAGACACAACTTACAGGATAACTTATATTATTTTATATGGTGGGCTTTTGACCCTGCTTGTTACGACTAACCCAGATTGAGAGGGAAACATCCCAGCGGAAAGCCCAAGACACTTGATAAAGATTCTCCCCACTCTGGAATTCATCTCCAGTCTCCTGCATCAGTCCGTGAGACAGCAAAACATCTAACCACTAACAGCTACACAACAGATGCAAGTGTTCTATGGCTACGTTCGCATTCTGATGCTTGTAATGTAAGACACACTCACACACACACACAATTAGAAGCCTACACATACAATGTTAATGTCTTGACACCCCATTGTATCACACAGACCGACTCCCAAAGTCCCTGGGGTTTGATTGAATCCATGTTAAGAACCACTGCTCTAGGCTAAAATTACAAGTACACAATATTGCGATAATTGTTTATTTGTCAAAGTCAAAGACTGCGCATCTGGCATCATCAATGACACAAACTAAAATGTTCAATGTTCTGTCAGATACTGTGAGTTGATTTAAAGAACTTTCACGCCGTTGGTGACAAATGTCAAATGATTCACGTTGAATCAGCCTGTTTTCTGTGTGAGTTTGAGTAAAGAGAAGCACAGCTACAAAAATGATCATTTAGTCATTTAGTGCAGTGGGAAAGCAAGATGATGGACAGAAACAATAAAGAAAAGAAGTACCTGTGGGATCTACTAGTAGCGTCCTCCTACGAATTGGCCTATAACCACCCCTGAAATTAGTCGTAACAATTTAGTAATAAATAATCACAACACAGAAACAAGTTTCTTATTATACAAGTCTAGTTGACTCACTTTATTTAATTACAAAACATCTGGTAGGTAGAGAAGCTGCAGCTCAGAACTGAACCTTCATTCTGTTTAAACAAGAAAAATAACAATCTGAGAGACCAGCTATCATATCGACAAAATACTGTGAAAATTGAAATTTTTTTCGTAAAGCATCAAGATCAAGGGTTGAAAACTGAACTAACTTCTTAAGAAACAATATTTTCATTTTTCACGCTGACTGAGAAATGCTGCACACTCGTATAGTACAAAACAGGGTGCGCCTTGGGTCCAAAGGTTAAGACTGTAAAAGTTCAAGAATGCCTGAAATGCTAGTTTTAGTTTTAGTAAGGTTTAACGGCGCTCACAACTGCATAAGGTCATATTACAAGCATGCCAGTTTACCAAAATTCCAAGAGTTTTCCATGTCTTGGTAAATAAAAACAACATTCCAAGAGCTTCCCAGTTTTCCACGACCCGTACGGACCCTGACGGTGGAGGCTGCTTAAACCAAACAAGTTTAATCCAAAAACAGCGGCAAACCAAAAGAAATTAATACATCCCCGATTTCTTTCTTGCTATTTGAGAAATCTCTCTAAACCAAAATCAAGACTAATCCGACGACAACCCGGTAGCACTACACTGTCCTCAGAGAAATTCGCGCGTGCAACCCGCAAAACTCACGTTGGTTACTTTGGTTGCAATGAGCATATCAACAATGTATTCCAATAATTCCATGACATTTTTAGCTATACACGTCTTGTAACTTTTCTCGCAACTTTTGTTGATTTTTCTTGCAACTTTTTGCAACTTTTACTCATTTCAAATACAACTTTCTCTGAGGACAGACTACAGATGTCGGTTTAAGCGGACTCTACTGTATTTTGATTTCATTACTCAAACTCAAAGAACCCTTACTTACGACAGCAAAAGGAAAAACTGGAGAAAACTTTCACCTCAACCATAAGAACTAAAAATAACTAATTAGTATAAAAGAAAAAATATCCTTTCAAAAGTAAAGCAATTAGCATGCATGTAAAAAGCCTCCCTCAAGTTTTTATTGTGTATTGTAAAAAGTAATAACGGACAAACAGATACTGCATGAGCAAACACTGTGACTTATTACAATACACAATAAACACAATTCATCATGAGTTTCCTCAATAAAACTGAAGACAATATCTCTGAATGAAATGACAAATTTCAAAATGAACAAACAAATCTCATATTCCTTTCGGATAAAAATAGATTCTATTCTCTCTTTTTAAAAAGTTTTATCAATTTTTTTCATCACTTCATCTCCTAATCATTCATTCACATACCGCATAAATATATTCCACATCGTCTAAATTTCTCTCTCAGAGATATAGCCAACCTTCGTAATTCCAAAAGGAGATAAAACAAAGTACATGACCCACACATGGACCAAAGGCTTTCCTAAAAAACATAAGACCAGCATCAGGCATCAAACAAAAGCAAAAAATAATCTTTGGAAATATTTTAACTCATTCCCTTCCACCAGCCACATTTTGTGAACTCATATGACCCAAGTTTGTATTGCCAAAAGTCAAAATAAAAATAATAATAATATGATAATAAAACTAATAATAATGAAAAAAAGATAATGATAATAAAATTTAAAGAAAAAATAAAATGTATACAATAAATAATAATGATAATAATAATAATAGCAATAATAAAGATCACTGTTCTGCCGTCATTTCTAAATAGTACACGGGCAGTTTTTACAATTTTGCAGGAGAGCCAAAAAAAAAACAACTGAATATTGTTACCAATAAAACATTTGCTTTAAAGAAAATAAGGAAGTTATTATCAAAATTATATTTTTTTAAATATTGACCCAGGATGTTTTCAAAAAGTTGTTTTCTTGGTAACAATATTCAGTATTTTGGTTGTCCCAAAAAAATTTGTAAAAACTGCATATAGTAACTATATTTTTTTTTATGTGGGCAGCCCACTCCATACAGGCTCTAGGCACTTTACAACAAAATAAAATTTCAACAGCTTACACACAATAACACGTTTCATACACACCGGCCCATTATAAACGTACAACAATCCTTCCAAATTCTTTTTCTCTCTCTCTCCAGTAACTTCAGATTCACACAAACCACGATATGTGTCACGAGGTGGTGGATACAGGCGCTCCTCAATTTTGGGACATATGGAGTTATAGGTACCATCTTAATGGTAGTTTATTTCCCCCACTTTTGATGAAAAAACCATCCATTGATCTTGAATAGAAGTCGAGATATTTGCTACTGAAGGAGGAGGGGATTGCCTGGTTTCAGAAGTAAAATTAGAGAGAAAATGGCCGCCAAAGTTTGGTGACTTCCATAGCTTAAGAGTACTTGGCAACTGCAAATTTACATTTTTTGTGCCTTAAATCAATGTTTTTCAACAAAATCTACACATAAAAGTGTTTTCGAAAGGACATACAAGGTGTTGAGCTAAAACAAAAAAAATTCGAAAAAAGTCTCCAAACTGGCCGAAAAATGCTGATTTCTCGGATTTCATTATTCTGACGAGCGCCTGATTTCACCACGATGCCTCACATATTATAATGCCCAGATTATTATTTTGTCATTGAACTGTCTGATATGAAACTTGTTTATCTGCATTCTGACATACAATGTATTTGAGGTTCTCTAAAAGAAATGATAATTTTTCTGATTAGTCAAGAAAAAATAATGGCCACAAAAATGGCTTGGTCAACAAAGTGAGGAAAACAGTCCGGTAAGGACAAGAGTTGAGACCTCTGTTTACATCCATCGACTGAGCAGGAAAACCAACATGGCCGACTTCAGCAAGAAGCTGAAGCCATGACATATTTAAACAAACAAGAAATTGTAGACCGGGAGTTTATCAGTAAAGCACCAAATTTTTTACGTATCATTTCTTCCAATCTTGGTCTTCCCGAAGAACTTTCCTCCAAATTCCTTATTTTCTGCAGCAAGTGAGAGCAGCCAGCAAAGACTCATCATAAACCAAAAATCTTGAAATAAACCAAACTGCTAAAACAAAAATCTTTTTGAAGACATACAGCATTGTGACTCAAGGCTTGTCTTTTACAGTTATTATACTGCCCTAAGTTGACAAACGCCATTTTTTTTCCATTTTTTGCGCCAAATTTTTTATTCGCTTATGAATAAAACAGCATTCAAATTTCGGAAGAACGCCTTTTCAAAATGGTTACACTGACAAAACGCCTTTTTATTTCGAAACTGCTGTGAATAAGAAATCTTCACAACAGTTTCGAGAAAAAAAGTTTTTTTAATCAGTGTAACCATTTAAAAATAGAGAGATTCCGAAATTTGAATACTAATCTATTAAAAAACTAGTCACAATTTGACTTTGATTTTTCACACAAGTAGGGTAACTGATCAGGCTTTTGATTTAGCAAAATAAAAAACTTTGGCGCAAAAATGAAAAAAAAAAGGCGTTTTGTCAGCTTAGGGCAGTAGAGTACACAGGCTCGATTATGTTCACCTCACAACATCAGTTTAGGACTACCCAAGACATTTGGCATTTTCTGCCACCGGGAACCATACTCATTCTTAAAAATAAAAAATAGAAAAAAAAAGATTTCAATAATGTCATGCGTATTAACTAAACCTTAGGTTAATATAATTAGTATATTCAATAAACCAGAACACTTCTGAGCATACTGTTTCTTTACCAGTACCGGTGCTGTAGTGGTTAGGTACCGTCCAGTCACAGGCAGCAGATGTGATTTTGATTAACGTGTGGGGAAAATTTTTACCGAGTTTTTCCGTCCGTCTTCAGGGATGTATCGATGTGTCCCTCTTAGCCTGGGGTAGCCCTGACATGCAGGGTCAACAAAGCACTCCTTAAAATGGCCTAAATAGTGTCAATGGGGGCGTTTAACTGATATAAAGCATCTGCAATTAATCAATTAATCACTGTTTCTTTCAGAACACACAATGAATGATACCTGTGAGCTAAAAATCTCATTTACCCCATAAAATAAATTAAAGTACCCTGTACTTTCAATTTTTCAACAGATCAGATTTTACTTCTCTTATCACAGGCCTGCAATAAAACAGATTATATGACATTGTATATACATCTTTCTCATGTATACTAGTACCAAGATCATATAACATTGTATATTTCTCACGTATACTGTTACCGTATACCACATTACAAAGTAACATTTCTCAACCATAATAATTCCACATAAAGCAAAATCTACAACATTGTTCGTCCTCATTTATTCCGTTCATCCCTCATTTATACAGTCAGTCCTTATTTATTCTGTCCATCCCTCATTTATTCAGTCAATCCTTATTTATTCCGTCCATCCCTCTCGCTCTCGCCTCGCTCCAGCATGTAGGCCGGTTTGTATGTGAGGATGCCTCTCTCGTCCACGTACTGCAGCAGAGGGTTAGGGTGGGTGTTGTCCATGCTGCCCAGAGATGTGTACCTGACGTGGGCCGGGAATGGGGGAAGATGGGAATGGGGAAAGATGGAAATGGGGAAAGATGGGATTGGGGATGGGATGGGGGGAAGGTATAGGACAGGATTGGGGATGGGATGGGACAGATATGGGGATGGGAATGGACAGGATTGGGGAAAGATGGGAATGGGGAAAGATGGGATTGAGGAATGGTTTGGGGATGGGACAGGATTGGGGATGGGATGGGGGGAAGGGATAGGACAGGATTGGGGATGGGATGGGGGGAAGGGATAGGACAGGATTGGGGATGGGATGGGACAGATATATATATGGGGATGGGAATGGACAGGATTGGGGATGGGATGGGGGAAAGATGGGATTGAGGAATGGTTTGGGGATGGGACAGGATGGGGGATGGGATGGGGGAAGGGATGGGAATGGACAGGATTGGGGAAAGATGGGATTGGGGAAGAGTTTGGGGAGGGGACAGGATGGGGGATGGGATGGGGGAAAGAATGGGACAGGATTAAGGATGGGATGGGCGAAGGCAGGGTGAATGGGGGAAAGGGAAAGGATTGGGAAAGGGCAGGGCAGGGGACAGGAGGAACAACATGGAACATTTAAATAAAGAAGGCATAGTGGTAAACAGTGTGAGGGGAAAAAATAAAATTTGCTGCTGAAAAGCCTTTGAAACATGTAAAACTTGCCTCCATAGTACTGGCGTAAGCTGACAAAACGCCTTTTTTTTCATTTCGGGGCCAAAGCTTTATATTTGCTAAATCGAAAGCCTGATCAGGTACCCTACTTGTGAGGAAAAAAAATGAAAGTGAAACTGTGACTAGTTTTTGAATAAATTAGAATTGAAATTATGAAATTACTCTTAATTTTAAATGGTTACACTGACAAAAAAACCCGTCTTTTTCTCGAAACAGCTGTGAAGAAAAAAAAGGCGTTTTGTCAGCTGGTGGCAGAGTAATCTCTTTTTCACATCCTTCCCTCCCTCACTAAAATCGACACAGAAATGTGATTTTACAGGGATATAAAAGGTGCTGAGCTAAAAAAAAACCACAAAAATTTGACAAAAATTGACAAAAGGACAAATAAATTAATACCAGTTTCTTCGATTCCACTATCTTGACGAGCGCCTGATTTCACCACGATATCTTACATGATATGATATATGTATGCATTGTTTATGTTATGTCTCCATCTACAGTGTATAAATAGGCGCGTAAAAAAAATAAAAAAGGAAATTGAATTGGTTTGCCACAAGGTAGAATGTTTTACATCACGGAATGCACTAGATCAATTTGTAATATGTTTATTGTTGTTGTTGTTGTTGTTGTTATTGTTGTAAATCCAGCAGTTTTTGAGCATGCCCCTTTCCGCGAGATGCAACGTTAAAAAAGGTGGAGCTCTTCAACATTTGATTCCTTTTAAGCGCAAGGGGGGCTATCCAGAAAAATGCTGTTTTGAGAAAATCGAAGGTAAAGTTTTTGCCCCTTGTTCACTTCTTTGAAAGTCAAGCAGAGTTTTCTCTATAACTAAACAAATATACACACCACTGAAACCGAACTTCTCCTACAGGTAGGACAAAGCCCACTTTTGGTGTAGGTCAAGATTTCTGGAAACACCCGAAATCTGGGTTAGCCCGCTCGTCCTTAAAAGCGACCATTTGTTCTTTGTTGCAGAACAGGTAAATGTATAGGGTATTGTCTGTGGTAGGGCAAGGAAGCAGAAGTTGCCTTAGAAAATTCTGTAGTTTGGCCAAGTTGTGTATAAAATTGTTGCCCTACAGGACAAATAGTAAGAAGCAAAAGCGGGTGGCTGGTGGGAACTCTGGTGTGGTTTGCTCCTTCTTTTCAATCAAACATCTATTGTCCTTATCTCCTCTCCTTCTTATTTTTGTGTTGGCTTCTCTCTTGTAACACCTCTAATCTTCGGCACTTATTTGACCTTAATTATTTTGCAAATATTAGAAAATTCTCACTAAAACATAAAACGAAAACGAAGAAGGAGAAGACCAACAAGAGTGCTCACCCCTGGTCGTAGAGGCTGCAGTAGGGAAGACAGAGCTGCCGCAGGAACCTCCACACATGCTTGTAGTGCCACTCCAGCACGGGGTTCACACGCATGAACTGGGGCCAGTCCGGGTCTGTCATGGAGAACTCCTTCAGGTGACCTGGTGACGGATAATGACATATATATTATATCTCACTCTTTCCCTACCAGGGTATTTCCCTCACTTTGTTATTTTGTTATTGTAGCTGACAAAGACAGTTCTTAATGCTTGCTCCACCTCATCATCTTCTTCAGCTGGTAGTTGACAAAAACATGAAACTCTTTTTTTTAATAGTAGAGGGTTTTACGGCGCTCGCAACTGAATAAGGTCATAAGAGCGCCAAGGGGTAGGTGTCAACAGAGAAATCTTTACAGGGAGTCAGACTTTGACGGCTCACCTTTTAACAATTGTGCCTTCCTTATGTTTCTTTTATTGCTTTTTCAAACTTTAAAATTTGAATTTCTACAAACTCGAGCACATGCAGCCAATTGAACAGGTGTTAAGATACTGCAATTTAAAAATGTTTCAAAGCTTTGGGCTCAGTACATCTGAACAGCTAGCCAAAGATATGACTTGTTCTATATTTTGCTAAAGAGAAACTGTGGGCCGTTGGCGGGTGCTTTGGTGTAGTGTGTTTCTTCTTTCCTATCAAACATCTATCGTTCTTATCTCCCCTTCTTCTTTTTTATGTTTGTTACTTTCTTGTAACACCTCTAATCTCTGGCGCTCATATGACCTTATGCAGTTGCGAGGGCCGTAAAACCTCTACTAAAACTAAAAAACTAAAAGAGAAACTAAAATGTGTCGTACAATAAAAGGACCAGTATGTATAAAATCTGTCATTTTGTGAAAACTGTCTAAATGTTATTTTGTTGTAGAGCGCCTAAAGCCACCAAGGAGTGGGCGTTAAAGAAAAGATCTTTATAATTATCATCATTACTATTAATTACTACCCTGGCTTCAGTTTTAAAGCTCATAGATGGGATAAATAGGAATCAATGCAACTATAATTCATAGCTAGAATTAACTTCATCCAAAATCGCAATTAAAGAACTATGCTGTACCAACACTACCAGAAATAATTCACTAAGTACAGTCAATCAGAGATTGAAGATAAAGCATTTTCCATAGCTTCTGGAATTTCTGATAATTCTCTCTTTTTAGAGAGTAGCAGGATGGCAATCCGATTATCCGATTATAGCGTTTTTGCTAATCAAGTCACGTTTTTTCCCCCCCCCTAACTTACAACAAAAAACTTGAAAAAGGACAACAAAACAAAACGAAGTATGGAAATTTCATCCGGAATAAAAACAAAAAACAATTTTAAAGAAACTGGTGGAAGGTCTGAATTGAATCGACAACGTCACACCAAGACTCAAAACGGTCACTTTTAAGGACAAGCGGGCTAACCCGGATTTGGGGGGGGGATTTCCAGAAATCTTGACCTACACCAAAAGTGAGCATTGCCCTACCTATAGGAGAAGTTTGGTTTCATTGATGTGTGTATTTGTTATAGAGAAAACTTTCCTTGTCTTTTAAAGAAACTGAAAAAGGGGCAAAAACTTTACCTTCGATTTTCTCAAAACAACATTTTTCGGGATAGCCCCCTTGAAAGCGACCAAATATGAATATAGAATTAATCACAAGCAGCATAGCAACAACAAAAAGTAAATCAACAAATGAAATTTATGAATGAGGTCCTTTTGTGATTTCTCGAAGTAGATTCAGGTGAAGGAAATAGAATAAAGCTCACAACCACAAATGTCGGTGTGAAAGGTAGTGGGGATAGGGGGGAGTGTCTATTTAAAGTTACTTCAGACACGATTACTTTAAGATTACAATCAACCACATTCGTAAATAAATTTCAATACAAATACATACAGTGAAATCCTCTCAAACAGATCTTATAAAATCAGAGGGATTGACAGAATTTATTTGGTTTAGCTGGGTTTTTCGGTTTCGAGGGACTACTCAAATAGAAGAAAAAAAATTCAGGAATTTTCTTTTCTTTCTGTTAATTGCCGTCTTTGGATTTGCTGTTTTCAGTTTAAGTGGACTCCACTGTACAAATACATTCTCCTAATGCTCCTACTTGAAGTGTCACATCCTGTCAAAGTATCAATAAAACATTTACTGATTATCATAAATTTCCTTGTCACAATAAGCCAAATTATCACTGACTCAGAAAGCCAGTACAATTCAAAATCAAGCTCTTGCTGTTAGCTTCAATTTATTTCCACATTACTGAAATGTGAAATGGTGTAATGAACAATAATTCAGAAAGTTAGAAAAAATAATACACACACAGACACACACCCACCCACATCTGAGGAGGTTCAAGGACTCTTTTGCTATTGGAGTTGCCAAACTTTGGAGGCTATTTTCTTGCTAATTTCCCCACTGAAACCAGGCAACCTCACCTCTTTCAATCGTAAATATCTTTATTTCTATTCTAGATAAATGCATACTTTTTTCATTGAAAGCAAAATAAATGAATTAGCGTCAAGATGATACTAATAACCCCACAAGCCCAAAAATTGACGAGTGCCTGATTCCACTGCGTAGTGACACTACTGGACCTAAAAGGCGTGGAGCCACAAAACAAAAATACCACCAAAATTTCCGTAAAAGTGGAAAAAGACTGATTTCTTCAATTTCAATATTTTGACAAGCGCCTGGCTTCACTGTGATGCCTCACATGTAATTTTTTTTGCACAGCATCAAAGCAGAGAAATGATTAGCTATCCATGATCCTCCAATATCTGATTAAAATCTGGCACTTAAAAAAGAAATAAAAGACAGAGGAGGAGGCAGGGGAAGAGGAGGAGGAGAAGGAGTGATTATAAGTAAGAGTTTTACAGCACTTGCAACACTATAAGGTAATATAAGTGCCGAAGATGAGAAGTGTTACAAGAGAGTAACAAACAAGAAAAAGAAGGAGGGGAGATAAAGACGATAGAGGTTTGATAGGAAAGAAGAATCAAACAACACCAGAGCACCCACCAACCACCCACTCACCTGAATAAGGGTCTGTTCTTCTTGTGCCCATGATGACAGCCTTCATGTTCGGCTTTTTCTCCGCCAAAGTCCCCAAACATTCTTTGATTCTTCCGTCATAGTGAACCATTTCCAGGTTGTACCTAGAAAAAAAATTAACAAAAATTGTCCAACTGAACAGGTTTTCTTGTTTTCTTCATTAGAAAGCGTGTGTGTGTGTGGGGGTGGGGGGGGGAAGTGGGGGGGTGGGGGGGAGGTAAATAAGCTGAATTATTTATCAGTAAAAGTACAGTATAACCACCACCTCATGCCATTGTGCACCATGACAATGACATCCCAGTTTTTTGTCCTTGTAAGCCATAGTTGTGGCCCCATTGTGACCCCCTGTGGTGACCTAAGGATTTTGGTTCAAGGTCAAGTATGCTCAAATCAAGACGCTCAAAATAATGGTGTGTGTGTGTGTGTGTGTGTGCGTGTGTGTGTGTGTGTGTGTGCATGTGTATGTGTGTGTGTGCGCACTTTACTTTCACCTACTAAATCAAATTCACTCTACTCAACATAAAAAAACAACAAGAATACAGCCAAACCTCGTTATATCATTCCCTGTAATACCACAGTACTTTTATCATATTTATAGTGCATGCCAACTTCTGATTGATATTGAGAACCAGCAGATCGACCTAGAAAATGCTCTTAGAACAACAACAAAAAGAGTTGACCTGCCTGTAGCCATTCAAGTTTCAGTTTTATTGCCACCATTAGTGAGCTTTTATTGCATTCTACATTTTTTTTTGGGTGAACGCATTGCCAAGCTCAGTCCGTGACTAATTTTCTCATAGAAATGTTGTATACATATATACATAATATTGTACATAATATTATTATGTTTTATGTACACACATGTCCATTAATCTTTAAAATTTGATATCTTTATGAATGTAATGCCCACTGAGAATTTTTTAAAACATGGAAATGTGCAGTATGAATACTATTTAACATTATTGTTATCTAGTTACACGCTTGGAGCACACCACTAGCCACATACACTTTACCTGTCTCGAGAGATCTGCACAAATTTTTCCACCTCAGGAAAAGGGCACCTACTCCGGATATACAAAGCCTGGAGCTTGTCTTTGTAGTCAGGGTATTTTCTGCGAAGGTGAGAACAACAGCAGAAAACGAATATATTAACAACTTGGATCAATTCTTTTGCCAAGACTAAAGGCAATTAAGAGAAGATAAGATGCATCTTTATTGTCCAGATCCTGGCACATTGGGTTGGTGTTTCACCGCACACAACACACACACACACACACACACACACACACACACACACACACACACACACACACACACACACACACACAAACATGCACACACATGCAGGCTTACAGTCACATGCATTATAATATATATGAACAGTAATATAAACAACAATAATCTAAAGCTAGATACATACTCAGTATTTAGACTGTAGCTCAAATACTAAAATCTTATTAAAATTTGCCAAACCGGTACAAAAATGGCGGTCTCTTTGATGTGCATTTTTAAACAAGGTTTATTATTTCGACCCTAATCACATTCAAATTAAATTAGCACAGCTCTGTTCGAAGTTAGGGAGTTGCTTGTTGTTACTCAGATATCCAACAATTACTTACTTTTTGACCACGGCGTACAGCAAATGCAACAAGACCGTGCAGTCTTTGCCTCCGTTGAAGCCAATACAGATATCTGATAACCTGGGGAAAGAACAGGAAAAATCACTTTTTTTCAAAATGGAGGTATTTTACACCAGTATCGACACACTTTAAATTTTTTACGGGGTGGGCTTCTATTCTGCCTGTCAGGGCCAACTGGGGCTGAGAGAGGTACAACATCTCAGGAGAAAGACTTAGTTGATAAAAATTCTCCGATTCTCTTGACCTCCTTTCACCCCC